CCCAGTGTGGCCCGGAGGGTGGGGAGCCCCCACCCCGCAGGGCTCCCCTTGTAAGGGTATCAGGACTCCCAGAGCCCATAGCACAGGTGTGGGGCAGGCAGGCCCAGGGTGAGCGAACTCTGGGGAGAAAAGGAAGCAAAACCGTCACTCCCCATGCCCCTAGTTCTACAAGTGATGAAGATGTGAATAAATGTCACTAGAAATGGGCACAAAGGAAGGGGAGAGTCTAGGCATGGGGTCAGAGGTCAGCCAGGGAAAGCAGGAGTCTGCTCAGAGCCAGCAAAAGAGAGCCAGCAGCACAAACATGCACACGCACACACGTCACATTCACAACACACACATGCTCATATATACATGCACACACACTCACATGCATTCACACACTCATACACACCTACATACCTACACACACGGTTACATACATTCACATTCATATATATGCTCACATACACTAACACACACATTCTCACTCAAATATACACACATATATACATTCACACAGTAGACTCAACACATACACACATATACACACAGTCACATTCACACAGTAGACTCTACACATACACACATATACACACAGTCACATTCACACATATACAATCACACACATTCAAACTCATATGTACATTCATACTCATATACACACTCACATATACTCTAATACATACATATACATACTCATGCACACATGTATACACACTCACATTCACACTCATACACACATAAACACACATATTCACACACTCATACACACATACACAATCATACGTACATATACACCCATACACAATCGTACACACATTCACACACATACACACTCACACACGTCACACTCGTCTATACACTAACATTCACGCACACATATATACTCACACACTCACAATAATACACTCATACACACATAAACACTCATATTCACAAACTCATACACAATCATACATACATACACACATTCACACACACCACACATTCACACATATATGCACATAAATTCACAGTCATACACACACCCACACACATACTCTACACATACACACAGTCACTGCCATATAAGTACCGCGCGCTAACCGATCGCGCCACTTGAGCTCCTGTACACACATATACACACACTCACACACAAGCACATGTGCACACACATTCACACTCCTGCACGTACATACACTCACACACGTTTCTTACAACACCAGAAAAGAAAGTGGAAAGAAGTGACAAAGGGAAATGGGTGGGTCAAGTTTCTCTTGTTTTAGGCACAATTTGGAAAACGTGCCTGTGTGTTTGGGTTCCTGAGAAGAGGAGGGCTGGCGAGGGTGAGCTGGGGCCAGGGTGGATGTACAGGGCTCCCCCATCCCCTCCCCATTGGCATCCCCGTGTTCTCAGAGTGGATGTGCAGGGCTCCCCCCCTCCCCGACCTCCAGCATCCCCAGCCTGAGCTCTCAGCTAGAAGACCTGCTTGGCCCCACAGCCCTGGGAGTGAGCAGGACGCTGTGAGCACTGCTTGAGGAAGTGGGGTCGGATGGCTCAAGGTTGATGCTTCTGCTTACAAGCCCGAGGCTGATAGTTCCAGCCCCAGCAGGTCCTACACACGCCAGCCCAGTTCCAACCGCTCTGTTGCCCAGGAGTACTAGGGCCAGCTGAGGAGGATGCCAGAGCCAAGGGGAGCGACAGGTGTTGAGCACCCACCTGAAAGCCGGAGAGTGACTCAGTGGTCCCACCCCCTGGCTGAGGGCCTGCTTGAAAGTCGGAGAGTGATCCACCCCTGGGTCACCACCCCTGGGCTGAAAGCTGGAGAATTACCCAGCAGTCACCACCCCCGAGAGTGGCCCCAGCTGCAGGACAAGCACGTGTGTTCAGCCCCCATGGGCATCTCCAGGACCACAAGAAAAGAAGAGGAGAGAACAGAGCAGTGCCAGGTGGCTGGACATGACTGTACAGGAAGTCTCCTCGGTCTGTGACCCCAGAAGACTGGATTTTGGGGGGCCAGGGAGTCTGCTTGATGACAGGAGTAGCATGGACCCGGCCGGGCAGGCTTCCTGAGCCGGAAGCCCACACCGTGATGGAGGGTGCAGCTGCTGTGGAGGCCAGTCAGCCCTAATCAGGCTGACCATCATTCAGGCCCCTTGGTGACAGCTGAGGAGGAGCTCGGGGCTCCCACAGCGACCGGATTTTGAATTACAAGAAAGAACAAAAATGATGAAATCGAATCTGGCTCCGTAATAAAATAACCAATAGTTGAGATGTTTAAGAAAGAGGAAAAACAAAAACAGCGCCTGGTCCATGAGTCACTGCCATCTGCCCGCCCTGGGGTGTTGGGGTGGAGAGGACACCCTGACCTCTGGTGCTTCCCAGTGGACACTGCCCCCTCCTGCCTGAAGCCCCACAGGTGCTGAGCAGCTCTGGACAGAAAGTTGCGGACGGGGGTTGGGAGAAAACCTTGGAGACTCAGTTTCCCCCTACACACACAGGCGGCTGGCACTGTGGAGGCCCCCAGTGCTAGTTTACGCACCATCACCGACCAGAGAATGGGAATCCCTTGCTCTGCAGGGATTTGGGGGCTGACTTGGGGGGAAATTTGGGGGGTGATTTTTGGGGGTGGTCCATCCAGCTGGCCTGGCAGAGGGGTCCTGAGTTCCTACACAGTTTCGCACAAGGACACCCGGAAGCAGGGTAGGGCCTCTGTCTGGCCAGAACTCTCTTGCCCCCACCTCCACAACCAGAACATTCTGGACCCTTGTGAATGTGGCCTGGTGAGTGGCCTCTGCTGGCTAGAGTCACCTGTGGACTGTGGACCATAGGCACTGACCTGGGCCACTCCTGCGGATGTCCAAGCGGAGCAGGTCTCTGACCGCTGAACTTCAATAGCGAGACACAGGCGGCCTGACCAGATCTCCAGGGTCTGACTTGATCGTGGAGCTGCCTCTGAGTAGCTGAGCCATTTCTGCTGGCACCTTGCTGGACACAGGCTTTATCCAAACCTGCACAGGGCAGAGGCCTGCGTGCAGGGCCGAGGGAGCCCGCGGTGGAAGGGGCAGCCCAGAGCCTCCAGACAGATTCATCCACCTCTGGGGTCATAGGGGCCTGTGTGATGGGAACCTGATGGTGAGATCTGTTCCCTAGAGAGGAGCTTAGGAGGTCCTTACCCCTCCCTGTCCACCTGCCTGGGCCCCTGTGGACTGAATCCAGCTAGAAGCCTGAGGACAAGGCTCAGGGGACACTCAGGGCACAGGGCAGTGGGGAGTAAGGTGGAGGTGGACGGGGGTGGGGGACAAAGGTGTCCCTCAGGCCCTCGTTCATAGAACAGTGAACGTGCAAGTACCATAGTACAGTTGTCAGGGTTAAATCCACTAATGTCCATTCATGTCCACATCCATGTCCATTTCCATGCCCACAGCTGTGTCCAAATCTAAACCACACCCACACCCACATTCATGCCCTGTGCATGTCTAACTTATGTCCACATCCACATTGTATCCTGACTATATCTAAATCCACATCCACACCCATGTCCTGGCCATATCTAAATGCATGTCCACACCCACGTCCTGGCCGTATCTAAATCCAAGTCACATCCATGTCCTGGCCGTATCTAAATGCATGTCCCCATCCACTTCCTGGTCATATTCTAAATCTACATCCACGCTGGAGTGATAGCACAGTGGGTAGAGCATTTGCCTTGTAAGCAGCCAATATGGCCGACCCAAGTTTGATTCCTCCGCCCCTCTCGGAGAGCCCAGCAAGCTACCGAGAGTATCTCGCCTGCATGGCAAAGCCTGGAAAGGTACCCGTGATGTATTCGATATGCCAAACATAGTAACAATTGTCACAATGGAGACATTACTGGGCCCGCTCGAGCAAATCAATGAACAACAGGAGGACAGTGACAGTGACAGTGACATCCACATCTTGGTTCTATTCTAAATTCTAAATTCATGTCCATGCTCTCATCCACATCCTGGTTAGATCTAAACCTATGTCCTGGCTATCTCTAAATGCCCATCCATGCCCTCTTCCTGGCCATACTTAACTCCATACCCACATCCACAGCCACATCCTGGCCCTATCTAAATCACGTCTATGTCCGTGCCCACATCCCTCTCTATATTCATACTCAGGTCCACATCTATAGCCATGCCCACATCCCGTGTTCAGCCTATGTCTAAATCCAAATCCACATCTACATCTATGTCCACATTCATGTCCGTGTCTACATCCACGCCAAATCCAAGCCCCATGTTCAGTCTATGTCCATGTTCACTTTCGCATCCTGAACCACCTTTGGGCCCCGCCTGGCCCTGCCCTTCACTGGCGGGTCCTCTGGGGAGCCTGGACCCCACCTTCACAGCCGCCCCCTGGCGAGCACCCGAGTGGCTGCAGACACAGGGTGGCATCTGGACTCCTGCCCTTTGACCTCTCAGCTCCAGGTTGGAGCGTGGCACAGGGCCGGGGTATGGATGGGGGCTCCGAGGATGACTCAGTGAGGCTCCAGAGTGCTATCCCCTGCACCTGGCTGGCCAGCTGTGACCCTCGTCCTGACCTGTGGCCTTGGCCCGAACCATCCCCTCAGATCCCTTCAGCGAAGGTGCCCACCATGCATGCCTTCCGCTGACCTCGGAGTCCAGGCCTCCGCCCGGTTGGGACTCCACAAGCCAAACACTTGGAGGCACACGTGGGGGTGATGTTTACGGAGTGTTTGCTCCCCATAGCAACAGGCATCTCTTCTCCCCAAGTTGTGTCCGTCACTGGGGGCAGTGGAGGGAAGCATCTGGAAAACAAGCACAGACTTGTGAAAGCATCCAAAACCAAACAACCTCACTCCCGCCCAGCCTAGCCTGGGCCAGACTTCTCCCTGGCCAGCCACGTGACTGTCCTTCCCTCTGCCTCAGCTTAGCCTCTTAAACTGTGACACTCCTGGCCCTGGACCCTGGATTCAAGGCTGAAGGGGAGCGTTAAAGATAAAGCACCATGACTTTATGTCACTGTCACTGTCACTGTCATCCCGTTAATCATCGATTTACTCGAGCGGGCATAAGTAGCATTTCCATTTGTCCCAGCCCTGAGATTTTAGCATCATAAACTTTATGCCCTCTCTCTGCGGATGCCAACTGGATGTCCTTGGGCATAATGGTGATGTGCTTGGTGGGGAATGAGCAGAAGTTGGTGTCCTTGAAGAGCCCCACCAGGTAGACCTTGCATGCCTCCGGCAGTGCCGTGACGGTCAAGCTCTGGGAGCGCAGGTCGGTCTTGAAGTCCTGCGTCATCTCACGCACCAGTCGCTGGAACAGCAGCTTGCGGATAAGCAGCTCGGTGGACTTCTGGTAGCAGTGAATCTCGAGTAGCTCTATGGTGTCGGGCCGGTAGCGGTGCGGCTTCTTCACGCCACCTGTGGCTGGTGCGCTCTTGTGGGCCGCCTTGGTGGCCAGCTGCTTATGGGGTGCCTTCCCGCCTGTTGACTTGTGCACCGCCTGCTTAGTACGAGCCCTCTCGTTCTTCCCAACTCAGCTGGAGACTGCTTCAGGGTTAGGGAAACATTTTAGCTACTGTTATTGGCATATTTGGTAAGTCACGGGCAGCTTGCCAGGCTCTGCCGTGTGGGCTGGATAACCTCGGTAGCTTGCTGGGCTCTCTGGGGTCGGAAGGGGAGATGGAGGCTTTTGGGGTGATCTCTATGTACTTTATGTGCTAGTCTCATTATTATTATTATTATTATTATTATTATTGGGCTGGAACGATAGTACAGCAGGTTGGGCACTTGCCTTGCATGAGGCCGACCCGGGTTTGATTCCTCCATCCCTCTCGGAGAGCCCGACAAACTACCAAGAGTATCCCACCCACATGGCAGAGCCTTGGCAAGCTCCCCATGGCATATTCGATATGCCAAAAACAGTAACAAGTCTCACAATGGAGATGTTACTGGTGTCTGCTCGAGCAAATCAATGAACAATGGGAGGACACAGTGCTAGAATGCTACTCTTGGCTTTGTGCTCAGGGATCACTCCTGGAGGTTCTCGGGAGACCATGTGAGATGCTGGGGATGGACTCCAGCTTGGCCCCAAACTCCGTTTGCCTCGATGGGCTGCATGTCCATTCCCGAGCCCGCCCTGGGTGGTGGGGTGCTTAGGGAGTAGGGGATGCAAACACAGTGGAGTTGAGTCGAGAGAACGTCCAGGCATGGCTATACTCACAGGTTCCGTGAGTCGGGTCCCCATCACAGTGGGCTCCAGGGATACAGGCAGGGGACGTCTGATCCCAGCCTCTCCCGCTGACCTGGAACCCTGACACATGCACTTTCTTCCATGGGCTCAGCACTACTGTTTCCTGTCCCCCCTTCCCTCAACCTCCACCCAGCCCCTTCTGTGGCTTCTGTTTATAAATGAGGGAAAAAAACCGACCTTGGCAGCGGAATGGCGCCTTGTAACACAAGTCGGCTCTTGGTTATCCTTCGAGTGCCAGCTCTGACTGCGGGTCGGGGTGGTGAGCGGGGCTCGGCAGGGCTTTCTTGACTTCACATGAATGTGTAGTTTTCTGGTTGTCACTGATTGTCAGTGTTGGCTCTTCATGCAGTGCCTTGCAGCCCTGCGAAATGGACCTTGGGCTCTGCCGGGTCACATCCCTTGGTCTGTGCCCGGTGTTGGACTCCAACACTCCCACACCCCGATGCTCCACAGGTCAGCAGGAGGCCGGAGAGAATTTCTCCAGGACTTTCCATCGTGAGAAGGTGGGTGGGCAAGAGAGTGGGGACAAGCGGGGGCCTGCTGGTTAGAGTCTGTCCTCTCCTGTCCTCGGCTTGGATCATCCCATCGCATCGTGGGCCCTGGCCTCCAGGCCTTCAATTTCACGAGCCTCCCGAACAGCTGGCCCTGGTCAGGGACCCCGCCTGAGGGAGGAGGCAGGGAGACGCATGTGCTGCCACAGAAGAACCTGGGGCCTGGAACTCCAGGAAGGTTTTTCCAGGATGAGATTCCACGAGGTCTGTTTTGAAAGCAAAGATTCTCAGACTGAGCTATCTCAGGGGCCACGTGCCCAGATGGAGTGAGGTATAGGGGGGCACCTGGGAGAGACAAAGGGGACTTCGGGGGAGCAGCACAGTGATGGCCTCAGTAGAGTCAGGGAGACGGTGATGGCCCTGGGAGACAGGCATGTAGGGAACCAGGAGGGGCAGACACTCAGGGAGACGGGAGACGTCGGCAGCTTTCCTGCAAGCTTAGATCCTGTGCACTCAAGACTCTTCTCTAACTAGAGGACGCAAGCATGTGTGTCTGTATGCACGCATGTGTGTGTACACATGTATGCATATGTGTATGCATGGATATACGCATGCTTGGGATTTTTTTTTTCACATGGCCAAAGAGTGTTCTATGACCCACAGTATACAGCTGAATCCAGAACAATGCAACGGAAGCCCCAGAAACCCAAACTCCCTCATCCTGCCTGACCTGGACTGCAAGATGGGCCCGGAGCAGAGATGGAGCTAGACACGCTGGCTGGGTCGTCCTCGGTCTGGGCTAGCTCCAGCCTAGGTCTGATCCTCTGTGCCCCGGACCATGCCCACCAGCCTCCTGCATGCCTGTGGTAACCCAGGGTCTGTCTGCGAAGGACGTCCCCCTCCCCAGGATAACCAAGTGTAGCTGAGCACTGCAGGCGTGAGGTCTCCTTTGAGGTGGCTGGGGAGAAGCTCCACCAGTTGCATTTCCCCGTTGAGTGCCAGTGGCTCCTCCAGGCCTTCAGTGATGGACCCCCTGCCCACAGCTCTGGTTCTGTGTTTGGACAGCTCCACGCTGATTCTGGACCCAAACTCAATAGACTTGGGTGTCTGAGAGCACAGGCCGGCAGAGAACTGATTTGGGCAGTGGGACGAGACACAGATGGGGGTCCCAGGGCAGTGGGAGGCAGGATTCACCAATGGGGCCCATGAGGGCTGGCTTGGTGAGAATCAGAGGCCTGGGGTCTGGAGGAGACCTGGGAAAGGCAGGGGAGTCCCAGCCAGGGGCCTTGACATCTCTGACCTTCCTCTCGGACTCCATACAGCAGTGCTTTCCGACCCTCGGCACCGAGGGGTCCCAGAGACTAGGGCCGTGGGGCCTCGCATGGCGCCGGATCATTTCAAAGGACCACCGGCATTTCTTCATTCCGTTCAGGTCTGGTACCACACATGGCCATGCTCAGAGGCCGCTCCTGGCAGTGCTTGGAAGGACTGTAAGGTGCCCAGGAGTGAGCCCGGGCCAGCCCGCTGTGCTCCACTCCCTCCTCTCCTAGTTTGACCTTGCAGCAGAAGAGTGAAAACACAGTTTTGGAGGACAGCACCCCCTTCCAAGGCTCAAGGACTTTCCACAGTGTGGAGCAGGGTGACAGACCCTGGTATAGATTAGACCTGACCTTGCCTTGCAAAGCGGCCCTGAAGCAAAGCCTCGCAAGAGGGAGTATCTGGGAAAAGTTGGCAAGAATAGGGTGTCAGCCAGTGCCAACCAAGTGTTTGACCCTGAACCTCACTTGACCTCCTAGTCACGTGAGCCCTAGACACATAATTGGAATTGGACTGGGGCAAAGCTAAGTTGGAGAGTTGATAGACCAATAATGCTAAACTTTCTGTGATTTGACCATCCTCTTAAGCCGAGACCCCCCCCCTATAAGATATGTGTGTATTTGGCAATAAAGTCAACAGCCATCTGCTAATCCCAGAGGGTGTTTCTCCCTGTGCCCGTTATCCTTTGGCCCACATCTTTTCCCTGCAACATGTCTGGGCACCATTAGGGGGAAAACTGTTCCCCAACACCACAGGAGGAAACAGACACCAAGAGGCTGAGAGGTGCTGGGGGTCACGCAGCTCCCGAGGGGCAGGGGGCAGAGGTTTGATGTGCTTCTAAAGAGGATGCCTCTCTCCCTGCCCCTGTGTCCTCAGGACACCCCGGGCTCCTTCGCTCACATCCTGCAGGTTGTTTTCATGCTCTGGCTGAACCCACTTCCCCAGAGGCAGCATCACGGGTTGCTTGGACTCAAGGAAGGAGGGCGTGGATGGAACCCTTTGGCCAGAGGTGACCTCATCATCCACACAGCGTGCAGAGTGCTCAGAGGCAGGGCCGCCACCTAGACCCCTGCCTGGACCCCAGCAGGCTCCCGGGGTGCAGCCATCTCCCAAGGTGAGGAGACAGAGGTCATGTGGGTCATGGGCAGCTCCTCATGGCAGCTGCAAGGTTCCCAAGTCAGGCTGGGAAGCTGGTACGGCAGGGAAGACCTGGACCCTGCATGTGGCTGAGTACAGCATGGGCTGCCCAGGGTCCAGCACCCTCGGCACAAGCCCTGCTCAGCGAGGAGGGAAATCGGGTTTGCTTTGAGTCTGGGGGAATCAGGAGGACATGAGCGCCTCCAGCTCATGGCATCAAGGCAGGTCCTTTGTTTTCTTTTTTTTTTTTTTGCTTTTTGAGCCACACCCAGCAATGCTGAGGGGTTGTTCCTCGGTTTGCACTCAGGAATTACTCCTGGAGATGCTTAGGGGACCATATGGGATGCTGGGAATCGAACCCTGGTCACCTGTGTGCAAGGCAAACACCCTGCCCGCTGTACTATCGCTCCAGCCCCAAGGCGGGTCCTCTGAAGCCAGACTCTGGGCTGTGCTGGGTCAGGAACCTGAGCATGCAGGCTAGACAAGGGACCCCACACGACAGCCCCAGGGGTCAGGAGGCGGCCACAGGAAGAAGGAGACTTACAGCACCCACAAGAAATGTTGAAGTGAGTAGTTTTGTGAGTGATGGAAACGGGCCAGGGCAGAACTGTAGGCTGAAGGTGACTCCCTCCCTCCCTTCTTTCGTCCCTCCCTCCCTCCCTCTCTCCCTCCCTGAACACAGCAGGTGTAGCCTAGAAGTCCGAAAGAAGAAAAGCACACACACACACACACACACACACACACACACACACACACAAAGAATGAAAACACTTATTCATTCACCAAATACCCCCCAAGTCCCCAAGTGCAGCCCCATGTCCGGGTTTGCGGCCACAGTGGAAGAAGACGGAGCGGCTACCCCTCACCCCAGCTTACGGGATGCTCTGTCCTCCAGCTGAGCATCACCCCTCTGTGAGGGGTTGCCCGCATCCCCATCCACATACAGATGCTCACTTCACTCACAGTCCAGCTGCTGGACAGTATCCAGTGTCCCTGGGACTCCTACGGCCACTCAATCGGACATTCCATGTGCATGCCCTCCTCCACCCCCTGACCTCATACCCCTCCTGCCCCCACAGTCTTGCTCCAGCACATCAGTTGTGGCTCGGGATTCAGACAAACAAGCCTGACAGTTCCCTCTCCGCTCCTGCTCCTCCCTTAGACTCCGTCCTCTGCTTGGTGATTGGAGCCTTCCCACCCCTGAGCATATGGATCTCACACATTCCCCACAGCCCAGCCCACACACCCCCTCCTCCAGGAAGTCTTCCATAATTTCTCTGGGCAAAAGGGACTAGAATACTCTGTTCCCCTTGACCTGCCTTACATCTGCTAATTGATCACTGCCTCAATATTTATTTACCAACTCTAAATTTGTTATATATATTTACGTCAACCTCATGATGATGTCAGTTTGCTTAGTCTTCAAAAACAAATCGATACCATCATGGGATTCAAGGATAAATCGTGCTAGACTGCAGATAAGGTGGGAGTTTGGGCTATGAGTGGGCGAGAGTGTGTGTGAGTGTGGATGTGTGAGTGTGTGTGTTAGTATGTGAGAGTGTCTGTGTGAATACATGTGTGTGTAAGACTATGTGTTTATGTGTATGTGTGAGATGTATGTGTGTGTACTGTGTGTATTTACATATGTGTGTGTTAAATATGAATGTATTTATGTGAGTGTGTGTATGTTTGTGTACATATGTGTGTGTATGTGGGACAAGTTAGAAAAGACTTAGTCACATCTCTGGTGACTCCCGGTCCCTGGCTAGACTCAGGTCCCAGCCTCAGAGCTGCGTGTGTGCCTGTGGAGAGGCAATGACGGCCACTGAATGTTCTCAAAGTCGGAATCCCTCTCGCTTTTGAAGTCTAAGCAAATGTATTGCTTTGATTAGATTTGAATGGAGCCCCACCTTTCTGCCCCCAGAAGCCACCACGTCCACTCACCCACTGACCTTGCTCTTCAGATTCATGAGTAAAACCTTCGAGGAGATGCAAGCCAAGCTGCTGAAGTTCATGAACACCTCGGTCCCCCAGCTGAAAATTCTGGGTGCCTTAGGGAGGGGGCGAGCCTAATTTCCTCTTTGCCAAGCCTCTGGCAGCGGCACCCCCTCCCCCACAGCACATGAGCTGCCTAACCCCACAGCGTCACTGAGAATCTCCACTGACTCATCCCAGTTCTAAAGATCCTGAAGTTTCTGGACCGTGTGGCCGCATATGCAGCCCCCGCATATGGGACATCCCCAAATTCCATGGGACTGAAATTCCAGTAGGAGCAGAACAAACTAGATGGGTAAGTAACCTAGATGCCAGCTAACCTCAACAAACAAAAACAATGACATAGGCAGCTCAGCCAGCAACGAACAAACAGCTCAGTGAATCCTCAAAGACTTAACCCCTTGGTGAGAGAGAGAACAATGTTCACAAATTTTCTTTTACTGAAATATTTTTCAATAATTCCTTTAGCCATTTGACTGTAACAAACAATATAAAATGAATTATAGATATATCTTTGGCTTGAATGGGGAATGGGGAGAGTGGTGGAGGGAAGGCCACTCAGGTGGTGGAATTGGTGTTAGAACACTGAATGATCTTAAGAACTGTATCATAAACAACTTTGTAAGGTCTAGTGTTTAAAGAAAGAAAAAAAGTAAATGTGAGAACAAAAAAAAAGAAAAAAAAGAGTTAAGTTGGAAATAATGGTTGAGTCAATAAAACCGAGCTGATTGTGGCCCCTCCCCCTTCCGAGGTTCTGCCTTGAGGTTAGGGGAGCCTGACTGGGGGTGGGGAGTGGAGGGGGCATCTCCTGAACACAGCTCCTGCTGTGTCCTGCTTTATTTTCATGCCTCAGAGGCCTAGGAAGGGCCTGGGGACACAAGCCTAAGGTCTGCCACACTGGCCCTGCTAGCGTGAGGCTCTGAGTCCGAGTGTGGGGACACAGCCCCCCACCAGCATGGGGGTTGGCCCTGGTGGCGCCCACACCAAGAGCCTGGAACAGCTCTGTGGGGCCCACTCATTGAACTGCACAGCCTGTGTAACTGGGTGGCATCACCACGGGTGGTCTAGGGGCCTCCTGAGTGCTTCTGGGGGGCCTTCCAGGCCCTCTCCAGAAATATAGTCCAGAGGGCCTTGCTCCAGACTTGCTCCTTGCTCCCTGCCTTCTCTGGGGGAAGGTGTCTGGCGGGAGGGTCCTGGGGAAGGTTTTCGGGAACAGGGGCCTGGGGTAGGGGTAGCCGTGTGCCCCGCTGGCCCAGACGCTCCTGGTAACCATTGTTTCCGGGTGTGAGTTTTTTGAAACTTATTCTTTTCAGATTCCATGAGCAGCCCAGACTGATTTGTCCGTCTAGGAATTTTATGGCCAGTGGCAGAAATCACGGTTTTACAGGAGGGGAATCAAAGTCAGCAGGCCCCTCACGCCCCCTCACCCTCTCCTGCCTCTCACACCTCATCAGCTCGCCCCAGGCCAGTTTAACAAGCTGCCTCTCACTCTGGTTTCTCTCAGGTTTTCAGCCTGCTCCCCCTGTGCTGGTGCTGGGACAAGCCCTGGTCCCCGGCCCCCGCCCCCTCGCAGGGCCCAGACCACCCCCCCTCCCCGCCTCCAGCCCCCTGCTTGCTCTCTTTCTCTCTCTCTCTCTCTCACACACACACACACACACACACACACACACACACGAACCATGTGGTCTGCCTGCTGACACACACAGGCCATGCCTCTCACAGGTTCCCCCCACCCCTGAGGCAGTCTGTGACAGTTCTAGAATATTCCAATGCCTACAAAGCACCCTCTCACTAAGGTTGGCTTCATTTTCCCAGGGAGGATGTGGAGGGTCCAAGAGGGACAGAGCCTCACCTGTGAGCGGCGCCCAAGGGGAGCACTTTCTGCAGGCTGCCCATGCAACTGTCTCATTTCTCTTCCCGGGAAGAAGTTGGGCTCATCCCAGGGGTTCCTTTGACCCTCCTCACTCTTCCCCACCTCCCCTCATGTGTTTGTCTTCAGTCGCCTTGCCATCCCCCCAAATTCCTTCCCCACCAGGTTCTGCGCTGTACCCCTAGCCAGAAAATTCTTGATTCTTAACAGGTTGTTTCATCAAGAAGGCTTGCAGGTTGGGGGCAGCCAGATGGTGTCTCGGGGTGATGAGATTTGCAGGCCGGAGCTGCTTGGCAGCAGTGCAAGGTCCAGGAGGCCCCCACCAAGCACCCGGAGCCTCCTCCCGCCTCTGAGAAGCCTCCAGGCCTGCACAGTTAATAGGCAGGAGGCGGGGGGAAGCAGAGACTTGGGCCCCTGGCACAACAGTGCCCTTTTGCCTTCTGCTCCTGGGGTTCTGGGCACAGTACCCGCCTCACGGGACTGCAGGATGCCAGGCCTCGGAGCGGCCAGTGTTTAGGGCTTGTTCCTGCAGGCCGCCTGCCTTGGCTGGAGGTTCCTAGGATCTCTTTTCTTCATCCAGATTCAGTGCTGACCATGCCCCATGATCCCGCACCCAGTGGGGACAATGGACTTTTCTAGACCAGCTCTCGTTCTCTCCAGAGACACTCACGGCACATGAAAGGCCCCTGCATGCCCTCCTGCAAAGCTAGCTGGGGAGTTAGGGGGTGGCGGGGCTTCTCTCCCTCTCACGCCCCTGATGTCACTCGGGCTCCTAATGAAATGGACAGGTCAAAGGAACGGGCTTCTGTCCACGCAATCCTCTGATGGGGCGAGGAGGCTCTCAGAGGAGAGTGTGGTGGCCCTTTGGGGGCGATGGGGCATGGTGCGTCCCCCCTTTCCCTCTGGGTGCTGTGTCCCTCTGAAGTTATACCACAGTTCTGGCTGCTGTGGTCTCCCGGGAACACAGGAGGGTTGGTGTGGACAGGAGACAGTGGAGCCATGCGCTGTAACCTCTGCTGCTTGTCACTGTGCCCAGCGTTGGTGTCAAGGCACAGAAGTGGCTTTGTAATGGCTCCTGTCCTGCCCTTCAGACCGAGATCTCCTGGGCACTAAACACACAGCACCTGGCAGCAGCAAACAGGTGGGACTGACCACCAAGCAGGAGGGTCAGTGAGGGCCACACCACCGTGGGCCCTCAGCATTCATCCATCTAGGGTCGAGCCCTCACCCGAGTCAGGCCCCGTGGGCACAGGTGAGTGGAGTGGGTGGCAGCCAGCAGCACCGTACAGTGGACAAGCACCGCTGTTCTGGAGAGCACGTGACAGGCACTGATGTGGGTTCAGGTGCCCCTCCTCCTCGAATAGGTCAAGATTTTAGCCCCGGTAATGGTGGATGGAACCTTCCTTGGAAACAGGGTCTCTGTAGGCATGACCAAGCCAAGCAAGAGTGTGAGTCAGGCCCACTCCCGAAGGAGAAGGACACTCCAGGAGAAAAAGAGGGAGGACAAAATTGCAGTGCATGGTGCTCCCTCACAGCCAGGGAGGAAGGAGGTGCAGCGTGTGGTGCTCCCTCACAGCCAGGGAGGAAGGAGGTGCAGCGTGTGGTGCTCCCTCACAGCCAGGGAGGAAGGAGGTGCAGCTCGTGGAGCTCCCTCAGAGCCAAGGAGGAAGGAGGTGCAGCGCGTGGTGCTCCCTCACAGCCAAGGAGGAAGAAGGCTCAGTGTGTGGTGCTCCCATTGAGAACTCAGAGTCACACCAGAATCTGAGACTCTGCTCTGCCCTGAAGCCTCCCAGAGAACATGGTCCTGCTAACATTCATCTGTTTTTCAAGCTTCCAGAAGAGATTGCATTTCTTTCTTTTTTTTCCTTTTTATAAATTTATTTATTGAATCACTGTGAAAGCAGTTACAAAGCTTTTGGGTTTAAGTCTAGGTCATACAATGATGAAACACCCATCCCTTCACCAATGCCCATTTTCCACTATCAAAAACCCCAGTATAACCCCCATCCCTCACCCTCCCCCTACCTGTGGAGCAGATGACTTTCACATTACTTTCTCTCTACTTTGATCACATTCAATATTTCTACACCAGACCCACCATTATTATTTGGGATTTTATCCCAACACTCAGATCTGCCAAAAAGGCAACTGTAGACAATTTGTTTTCTATTGCTGGTTATGAATAACATATGATGTCATGCAGCCGCAGTAGTGGCTGTGAGATTTTGGAATTCCAAAATTTTAGCAATTAAATCTGGAGAAATTTCTGCCAAAACCTGCTAGGTTCCAAGAGTTGTTCTTGAGTCTCTGGGATCATGGACGGTAAGCAGCTTGAACAGGAGCCAGAGAGGCCATTCATGGGCGGCAACTCAGGGTCTCGTTGGGGTGGGAAGGAAAGGGCCAGCTACACCCCCATCCAATGAGGCTACGCTTGTCTTGTCACTGCAGGCCCAAACCTGACTGTCCAATGGCCTCTGGGGGGATGGTGGCCACCGAGCTGCTAGGGGAAACAGGCCAAGGCATGAAACCTATTCCCACCTGAGGTGGCCCGGCGCCAGTAACCTACTGCAGGGACTGGACGCATTTCTACCAAAGCTGCTGCGTTCTGAGATTTTTTTTCTGAGTCTCTTGGATCATGGCCATTAAGCAGCTTGATCAGGAGCCAGAGAGGTCATTTGTGGGTGGTGACTCAGGGTCTCACTGGGGCAGGGAGGAAAGGGCCAGTTCCACCCCCATCCTGTGAGAACCCATGTGTCTTGTCATTGCGAGCCCAAACCTGACTGTCCAATGGCCTCTGGAGGATGGCAGCCACTGAGCCACCAAGGGGGAGCAGGCGGAAGGACAGCACCCTTTCACCCCTGGGATGGCCCGGCGCCGGTAACCTACATGGGGACCAGACACATTTCTGCCATTTTAAAGCTTCTGGGTTTCAAGATTTGTCTCTGAGTCTCTGGGATCATGGCCGTGCTTTGATCAGGAACCAGAGAGGCTTAGCCTCCAATTATATAGCTGAGCTGGAGATGGTTTATGAGTGTGTCTTCCACAAGTTGTTGGGATCTGGACAAAGGCACAGCAGCAATTTTGGGGTATCTGGAAGTCTGAAGGCACAATCAGGCTGCTGATGCACTCACCTCACAGGTATAGATTGAC